GAGAGAGAGAGAGTCATACACTAACCTGTACAGGCGGGTATATACATCTGCGGCGACCGCGCGCGCGATGCGGTCGATTGGAAACGCCGCCGGGCGAGAATCTTTTCCCCGCCGCCGAGAAACAACGTTCTATTACAGCTTCTATTTCCACGCAAAAGGAGCGGCGTTTCCTTATATTAACACCGCGTTTCGAGCCTGTCCAGCCGTGATTTCTTGCGCCTTGATGATGCGTCACAGTGGGCTGTTTTTCAAACGAACGCTCAAGGCGGCACTCGTTAAGCCCCGTTCGAATGAAGCCCGGTGTCCAATTCTACCAATGTGGATTCAGTTTATCACGAGTTTAGCTTTGTATAAATCTAACAAGCTACAAAATTATCAAGGCAAGAGAAAAACTAAACACCATTCCCGTTCTTTCCACGTGCACAGAGTGCGGATCGACAGTTTCATGAGTCACTAGGCAACACTTTGAAGTAATTCACTTAAATTTGGCTCTTTTATGTATTTACAACTTTATGCTATATCGTCGATATCATAAAAGGCATCAACGTGTTTTTATGTCGCTTGTCAGCGACTCGTCAAATTGTTGATCCACATTTGATATCCGAGAGTCAATCGTGAATCTTTTCCTCAGACGTGAACTCGTGAAACTCACTCGCAAAAAAACAAGGATTACCTGAAGCCGCTCTGCGGCCTGCCGATTAGTCCGTACTTTAGCGCGTTAAAATTGAAATGGCTATAACTGGAGAACGTGCCTCGGGTTCAGGAGGCGTTGGCCGCCAAACATCTCATGTTCGGCACCGTCGACTCCTGGCTGATTTGGGTAGGTCTCCACGCAGCGAGCGCGGGGTGTCTTCTACTACCGGGAGAAACCTGGAACTCTTGAAGAATCACTGATACGATCTCGCGGACATCGAGTTGCTTCACAATCGATGTTACTTTTCTTCTAAGGCTGATGGCAGAGAACGATCCGTAAACGCTTAGTCGTAGACGTAGGGCAAGGCAGAAAGAAACGTAAGTCGTGAAAGGCTATTGTATACGACTTACGTTTCTCTCTGCTTTGCCCTACGTCTACGACTGAGACAGTCTTAAGCGTTTACGGATTGTTCTCTGCCATCAGCCTAAGAATGAGAGTGCGAGAGAGAGAGAGAGAGAGAGAGAGAGAGAGAGAGAGAGAGAGAGAGAGAGAGAGAGAGAGGGGGGGGGGGGAGAGAATCATACACTAACCTGTACAGGCGGGTATCTTACGTGTATCGTACACGTGCACACAGATCGGGCACTCGTTAATTCTAACACTGGCTGTGTTTTGCCGGACCTCTGCTAGCAATGTGGCTTGGTAGTGCCCAGCCAAAAAATGGTTTTATTTAGGTATGCCAAAATAGGTTCATGTATGACGAACCAAATATCGGCCTTAAGTAGAATTACCAATGTTGGGGACAAGATATGTTGCCGAATATTGGCCGAACTTAGGCGTCTAAACTTTGGCTATGCGATAATGGACCAAACAATGGCCACGTTGCCTACTTCGGCAAACCTTACATGGGGCAGCAGAGAAAGCTGCTTTGCAACTGTTGTAAAATTCGTAAATCTGATTAATATACATATACTTTTAGTGTCGGCTAAAATTAAAAGAACACACCGATCAGATTCACAAATTTTATAACAGCTGCAAAGCAGCTTTCTCTGCTGAATGCAGCCATTGGCAACGTTACAATAAAGACAGAATTTTTAGATAATATTAAGTTTAATAATCAAATTCCAAAAACGAAATGGATATCAATAAATTTTTACCTTTAGCTGTTATAATTACATACATTTTAACTCATTATATACATAAGAATTCAAGTCCTAGAACTATATTGATATATACATATG